TTACGGCTTTATGAAAGCCAATAATAAATTATTAAATAAATACAATGCTATAATAATTGTATTATATTTATTTTTTCAAAGCACTGCTACATATTTGAAATACGATGTTTCCACAGAATGACACAAGACATCGTCTCGCGTCTTCATCTATAGAAAATAATAGTTAAAACAAATAGAAGGCCATCTTTCATTATCATCTCGTATTCTTCTTCATCAGCTAGTTTATATCATAAACAACATCATCTACCTTAGAAAGAGATAAGCAAAGCCTAGGGGACATACGCAGTATTCAGAGCAGGTCTGAGTAATTAGGTTTAAGGCCTATGAACAAAAACAGACAAGTTGCGTCGGAAGTGAGTGATCCAACCACCATTCATGACGTTAGCACTGCTAATTTGGTGATATAGTTTTTTTTTTTATTATTTATTTATTTGCACGTATAAGTGTGATACATTATTATCATGCAGCCTTCATCTAACAACAACCGATGTCCTCTAAAAGAAATCTGGCGTTCATTGCCCACCATCTCTCTCTGGTGCATACACCCCGTGCGCTTACATGACGCCGTCCACTACCTCGAGTTGAAGACCAATTCCCGATATTAGTCTCAATGTATGAGAGCGAATGCGCTAGTCGTCTCTAGTCCATGTGGACCCAACTAAAACTTGCCGATTCCATGGCAGCGTTACTGGTGCGTCCGCAGTTTGATTGTAGGAGGATAGGTGATGTATCCACAATAGCTCTGTCAGCTCCCGCCGGCCTTCCTGTAATTCTGGCGCTAGCACGGTGCCAACGTGCCATTCGACCCACCTGCTCGCGAGCTAATAGGGGCACTGCCGCATATTGATAGCGATGAGCAGAACAAGAGCACGCTCAAAGCCGCACACATAAGAGGTTTATTACAATAGACTAAGCCTCGCAAAGGTCTTATCGCTGAATTTGCTGCTGGATATTGTGAGTGGTACAGTAACCACATCACTGGCTGTTGACTTTTGGTGGATTGTCGTAATCTCGCCACTTTCCTGATTACTTCAGGCCCCCGGCTCACACACTTCGTACATACATAACGTTATATCTTTGACACAACACGATCTCAATGAGATAATGATATTCTCCTTTTTGCCCTCCATCACTTAAGCCTCTCAAGCCCCCCACCTACAAACACCTTCATTCCTGTCATGGGCGTCCTCCTTCTCCTCAGTCTGCTACGCCGTCTGCGCAACAATAATGACGACTACCAACAGGACTACGAGCAAGAACTGCGTCGCGAATACCGCCGCCAATGCAAGCGTCAGCGCCGTTGGAATCGCCGCCACCCGCACTGCCCCGCTCCGGTGCCTGCTCCTGTTACAGCTGTGCCGGTCGTCCTTCAGCCAGCGGCGCAGCAGTCTACAGTGACGTCAATGCAGCAGCCCCAAGTTGCGCAGCCAGCGTACCTTGTCGACCCAACCACTCGAAAGATGCTGACACCGACGAAGGACATTTCAGTGTAAGCAGATCGACCGAACAGCTGAGCAGTACGCGGTTGAGAACGAATCATCCGTCGTGAAAAATTAGCAGCTTCATAGCCGATCAACTCAGGTTGAGTGAAAGAAACCCAATCCGCACGTATAAGATCGCACTATTCCATTACTTGTTGAACGCACAAACAAACAGCTACGTGCTAACTACTACTAGTAATAAACTTTTTTTGGCGAGAAGACGTATTTACTCTCGTTGCGGTGATGCCATTCACGTTGATGTGGCCTGTGCTGGTTTTACTGAATTTCTGGAGCCAAAGAAGAGGAGAATTTTCCACTCGGATCTACCTACATCCATTTCAGCGTGAAAAGCTTCGCAAATAAAAATAATGGACAGCAGACGATGTTAGTGAACGTGTGTTAAAAGTTTTAACTTTAAACTCTGCGGGAGTAGTAATTAAAACTTGATTGGCCCAGTCCCCCCCCCCCCCAAAAAAAAAAAAAAAAAAAAAAAAAAAAAAAATTCAGTCCTGCAGCAACAATCTTGTTTCTATCATTCCTTTTTAGTGTACAAGGTGTCAGCAACAATATTCTCTTGAAAAAGACACGGCTACTTGGAATGTTACGTTATGTAGTGATGCCTTGGCCAGTTGGTACTTCCCTCGGAATGCTTGGTTCACGTGCTGGCTGAACTGGTTGGACTTGCGATGCAGCATGCGTGGCTTCACGGTCGTCACGATTGAGTTCGTAGTTGTCGCAATCCTCATCCACCTGGTCCTTGTTGCGTCGACGACATAGGCAGCGCACCACTGGAATGAGAAGAAGGACGCACATTGCAATTGTTTATTGGGCTGGATGCAGTGACAACGTCGAAAGGAAAGTGAGATCATCGAGCATAACGCGACACAATTCGTGTCCCTGTAGTAAACACGACCGCTATCTCGATTGCGACACTAATATCCCATGTACATTCGTCCTCACGGATTGTGTCCTGGATATTTGTTTGCGAATTTCTAATCGTGGCAGTAATCCAACGTACCGGAACGTGTTCTATATCAGGCATTATTAAGTATCTACAGCTTTATCATTCACATTGATCTAGTCAGTCTTCGTGGTCTTCTTAACATCTTCTGCATCCCCTGATGCGCTCGGGTGCAGCCAGTTCTTATAAGAGTAGGCCGAGGCGCCGAGCATTTGCTCCAGTTGATGGTCAAGGCACTTCTCAATGCTGCAAAGATGACGAATGTATGCCAACTTTGGCCAAACTGCCCGTTGGCCGCCTTCAATATAGTTCGTCATGTCTTGCACAGTTGGGTTTAGAATGGCTTTGATGCCGATGGATTCCAGGAAGCGAAAGTCGGGGATGACGGTCACGTTTCCTGAAAAGTTTTGCTCGAAATACGAGCTGAATTGGTGTCCGTAGATCTTAGGGAATAGACCCAGGAAAGCGAGCATCTTCAGTCTGTGACGCACATCGCCAGCAATAACGCTCTCGAGCTTGTAAAAGATGCTCTTGGTATTGCTTGGCTTGTCGATTTCGTCGCTGACGAACGGAACCACGTGAGGATTCACCTGTGAGACGATGAAATTAGTCACGTCAAAGCCACTAGCCATCGTCTCCATGGGCAGGTCGTGTTGAATGCTGCCGTCCACCCACTCCTTGTTCAGAGACGCATATGGAACGATATTACCCTGAAAATCTCTCGCCATAAGCTGTTTTCCCTTCATAATGCCAGGAAGCGAGCAGGACACAGCAACAGCGCTCCAAAGCAGCACGTGTGGGGTGTTAATATGGCTCAACAGGAGCTTCTTCGGTCCTTTGTGGCCCGTTATGTCAGATGCTGACACAGTAATACATACATGACGACCGGTCTTCAAGAAAGCGTCTTGGAACGTGTAATACATCGTCTTGTCCTCGGTATTCATAGGCTCGCTGTAGTAGTGTTCAGTCGTGCGTTCAAACTCGGACGAGGCCACAAGGAAGCCAGTCTTTACGCAGTGTGCGAGTTGCTCGAGAAGCGGCGGGAACCAGCGAATACCCAGCGAGAAATAACGTGTCGAAATGTCACTCACAAGGACATCATTCAGCAACTCTTCGTTTGTCTTGCACGCAGTAAAAGCCGCAGTGATTGACCCGCCAGAGGAGCCAGAGATGACATTCGGTAGTACATTCGCATCGAGAAGAGCGCGTATTACGCCCATGTGATACATCGCGATGGAGCCGCCACCACTCAAACACAGTGCAGTCGAGCCAAAGGACTGTTTCATTCGCCGAAAGAAGCGAACTTTCTCGGCATGAGGGAACTTTTCATCGCTCATCTCAGCCAGTGTGTCTAAAGCGCGAATAACCAACGCGTTATACTTGCTGATTGCTATCTTTGTTCCAGAGTTGCATTCCAAGTGGAGACTCGGCGAGTCGATGCCCAACTCATTGCGCATAACCACTGAAGCCACGACATATCGAAGCTCGTCCACGTTCCCACCGTCCAGAGCTCGAGTCAGTGTCTCTACATTACGACGCATCTGTACAAAGTCGCAGTGTTCTGTGTCTTGAGCATGAATTATAGTCTTCCAGTTGTCTTTTCCTTCCAGAACGTCGAGATACTGCGCCATTTGCTTCCATTCACGGTAACTTTTGGTAGTTTTCATAAGACGGCGAAGTCTCTCAGCCTGTTTGTCACGTACGCCGAAGAGCCCCACATATACGCTTCTTATTGCCAAGAGGATCTGCTTGATCACCTTCACGGTGACATAAAGCGACAAGGAGAGCACGATACGAGCCATTTGATACAGCGCCACGATCCACTGCAAGATGATCACGACCTGCAGGCCACAGAACCAACCCACCCATTTATACTTGCGCACCAGCAATAGAATAGTCCCAATAACAAGCACGACTGCTAGTGGCCGTGCGACCACCTCAGGGTTTGATAAATCATCGAGTTTGATATGCCGGAGACCATTTACCACCGTCCAGAACTCTGCAAGTGCCTCGCTCACTAGGGCTACCATCATTCTCCGACAGTACTGTACATACCCGTCGAGATGCGCGGGGGCGTCGGCGAGCCGTGCTAGCAGCGCCTCGACCAGATAACTGCCCAGCCCTAATACCACGACGATACCGCCGACCACGTTCGCTACGAACTGCGCAAAGCGGGTTGAATCCTTCCACTCCGCCTCCTCCCGCAACGCGCGCTGTAGATCCTCTAGACTGCGCTTCTTGTTCATCGTCGAGCTGCGCTTCATCCTACCGTCGATTGCCACCGATGGCGCGGGTGTCTATAATCCTTGGCAACTTGCAAGACGCTCGCGATTTTTGAAACTGAACTTGCTGGCCTGTCTCGGTGCTACAGTAATTCTACTTGTTTTTTGTATGTGGAGGGAGTGACATGCAAAAAAAACAGCATTCATGCTGCAGCAACATCATTATTGGCAAATTCTGATGGTTATTGTAGATAACCGATCACCTGGTTATTAACCAGTAACCAGTACGACGCTGCGGTACGTTCGTCCCTGGGAGAGTGCGACCGAGTCGACTAGCCGAACGAGACGCATGGCAGCTTCCACTTGTGACGCATCTGGCTGCTCTGCTGTGTCAGCGAAATATTCTTTGAACGACCACAGCACAACGTTCGACAGCTCGGTCAGGACAATCTCGCGGACTGTGGTCGAGTACACGTCGACGGAGTGATGGTCTTCAGTTTCTTTTGCCAACGCTGAAGCATGCGCAGCCCACGCGGCCTGCAATTTCTCTAGGAGCTCCTTGTCTGCATGCAATGGCGACGGGGTATTTTGAGCTGCAACGTGTAGCGCTTCATTGTCGATAACTCCGACGACTGGTCGAGGATTCTTCCTGCGTATCCTTGACAGCATCGCATCTCGATGAGCTGCTGTAGCAGCTGAAAGTTTTGGCGGCGAAGCCGGCAAACGCTCCAGTAATGCTCTGGTCTCACTATTGAGCAACCGCAGCAATTTTTTCGCCTACAAATCGCACCGAGATTGAGTTAAATCACGCTTTTGCGGTGATACATTCATGGAATCAACGGTTCTACCTGCTTCAAGCGGTGATAGATTGGAAACACTGACGAAAATGTAGATGCATCAGCCACCTGTTGGAACTGGGAAGACTCCATCTCAATCTTTTCAAGTGCAAAGTCCATCAACCTTTGATATCCTTGTCGAAGTCTCGCTACCTGCTTGGGAAATGACGTCTGAATTCGAGCAACCGGTACGTCCATCCTGCCAGAGGACCCAAATTTCTGCTGCTGCTGCAGTAGGAGCTGTCTTCTCTGAGGACTCAACGATAAATATTCACTCATCTTACAGCAAAAGGCAAAACGAGTCGATGCCTCTTTCTCCTTCAATTGCAGCTCCTCCAGCTGCGTCTCCAGCGCCTTTAACTTGCGTGGATACTCCAGTCGAACCCTTGGCTCGGACTCCAGCTTGAGCTCTACCGTCTCGATATTCTGAGTTGTTCTAGTCGCCTTTGCGACGGCCAAAATACTCTGCAGCTGCCGCTCACAGGCATACAAAGGTTCGGCCGGCTCCCCGTCGCTGTTTTCGTCACTGTTGTCGCCCTTAATCGCGAGTTCGGCTCGAACTTGGCGTGCGCGTTGGATGGCGTCCTGGATCGAGTGTTCCACTGCTAACGTCTCCGCTTGCTGTGCAGTTTTCTTCTCGACGAGCGACGTCTCGAGGTCGAGAATGTATTTGCAAATAGCCTGGAGGTTCTCACATTGTTGCTGCAGTACTAATGACCTGAAACGCACATCGGCGTCGAGGCTGGAGGCCGTGCGCTGGAGCTCTTCGGCAACGGTATCCCAGCCGCCCATGAGTGCAAAAACGTTCTGGCATTTTAACCAATCGGCGACGGTGAGAATGTGATTGGCCGAGACGCTTCAAGTTACCTTTTCGAGCTGCGATGCAAAGCGTAGATATCTTGCTGATCAGACAGGCTTGTGCTAAATCAGTTGCCGGACAGTGCCTATGTTCGCTCTCGCTTAGCTGAGATAGTCTCCCGAAATCTTTTTTCAGCCAGAATTGGTGGTTGCAAGGGGTCACCGAGTCGACAGTAGATCGGATATTGCTACACCGCCAAGCTGGATATGTGTATGTGCAGTCGAGTTCGAGCAATGATTCCGCAGGAGTGTTTGTTGTGGTAGACACAGCACACACTCGCCACGCGCTCCTCACTCGTACCGTGCCATTTGCCAATTTGCATCGGCTTTGCGTTTGGAATTCGCTTCGGTTCGCCTGGTTTTTATTCGTTGCGTATCGTTTCGTCTCGCA